TTCTTCTTCTTCTTCTTCTTCTTCTTCTTCTTCTTCTTCTTCTTCTTTTGGAAAACACAGTTCATGATTAATTTTGTTTTGTTTTGTTTTGTTTTTCGAGACAGGGTTTCTCTGTGTAGCCCTGGCTGTCCTGGAACTCACTCTGTAGACCAGGCTGGCCTCGAACTCAGAAATCCGCCTGCCTCTGCCTCCCAAGTGCTGGGATTAAAGGCGTGGGCCATCACCGCCCGGCATGATTAAAATTTTTTACATGGCATATAACAGTCACGCCTGCCTGTGGAGATCAGTGATATAATCAGCTCCATGTACACAACATGTAACGGTCAAATTAGGGTAACTGGTAACCTTCTTCCCTCAAACATGATCAAGCACTTCTCCCCTAGTATTTTGAACTGTATAATTAAACGTTACGTATCTTTTCCTAATAACCCCCTGAGTTCCCTTTGTGCTGCCCTGTATGCTGGTGGTATGAGGTTGTCCACTAGAGCATGTCCACCTGCCAGGGCCGTGCCTTTGAAAGAAACCAACTCTCCCTCCCCAAGAAAGTGTCCATAGCTTCTCAGGTGTGGGGTACTTGTGAGCCCTTTGTGCTGAAATGCTAACTGGCTTGATCTGGTGCGGGTCTTATGCAGGCAGATCACAGATGTTGTGAATTCATAAGAACAGTTACTTTCATGTCCAGAAGAGATTGTTTTGCCCTGCTCTCCCCCTGTCCTCTGTCTCTTAGAATCTTTCCTTCTTTTCTTCAATGCTTCCTGAGTGTGTGGTTGTGTGTGTGTCTGTGTGTGTGTGTGTGTGTGTGTGTGTGTGATACAGATGTCTTATTTGTGGCTGACATTCCACAGTCAGTTATTCTCCACATGTTGACCAGTTGTTGTGAATTTAGGTCTGAAGGCTTCTCTAGTCTATGGGTAGAGAGATGTATATCTAGAGGACGGTATGATCAATACCTTGGAAGTTTCGTCAAATCATTGCAGTAGGTTTACTACTGGAACCCATGAGCTCCCCAACTATGGGACCTTGGCTAGATTTACAGCACTGCATGCGTTTCCTTCTTAGAAGTGGGCTTTAAATCGGAGCACAAAACTATTGATAGCCCTAGAATGTTCTTAACACTATTGCGCCTATGGGCCTGTCTTGCAATAACAAAAAGAGGTACACAAAGTTGGGAGTTGGTAGGAAGAGGAGGGGTAGGGAGGAGAGGTGGATCTAGGAGGAGTTAAAGGGGAAGTAGTGGTGAACATGATTAAAATGCATTGTATTTTAATATGTGTATGGCATTCTCAAAAATCAGAAAACCATATAGAAGTATTGCATGCTGACGTTTCTCTCCCGTGCTTCTTCCTCTCGCTAGTACTGTGTCTGGCACCTTTCTCCACGTTCACACATCACCCATCCCTGCTCCTGCTGACGGCTAGTCCACTCTCCTCTCTCTATTATCAGATTCTTTAAGCTTCCCTAGTGAGTGAGGGCACACTGTATTTGCATTTCTCTGCCTGGTTGATTTTGCTTCATATGTTTTCTGATTCTACCCATGTTGTCACAGATGAACAGGTGTTCAGACACCTTTCAAAGGCTTCATGAGAGAAGAACTCACTGGGATAAGCTGTCAGTTTAGGAGGGTGTCTACATCACAGAGAGGAGCACACAGAGTGGGATAATGTGGTGTTTGTCTCCTGTGCTTGGCTTCACAAGATAGTGTTTTGTTTGAATGGCAATGAGGAAATGAATCACAGGGTGGTGGTGGTGGTGGGGATGCAGCTCAGTTGCTAGCATGCTTGCACAGAGAGCAAGCATGAGGGTTCGAGCCCCAGTACCACAGGCGTCTGGGAGTACATGCTGGAACCCCAGCACTTGGGAGTTGGAGGCAGGCGGATCAGAAGCTCAATCCCTGGCTAAGTAGCCAGCTCAAGGGCTACAAGAAATCCTGTCATATTCAAAACAAAAACAAAAACAAAAAGAAAACAAACAAACAAACAAAACCAGACCCAACCAAATCAAAATGATAAACCTACAAAACAACACACAAAAAACAGAACAGCATTTCCAAATTCAAGTTTTGTTTTGTAGTTAAAATTTTCTTTGAGATAGGATCTCTCATGTGACAGCCAAAGTTGAGTAGCATATGACTTTATGGGGTCAAAGGCCAGCATGTGATTTCCTTTGTGTATTTGCTGTCCAACAGGGAGTGAGTGCATTATATGTTTCTACAATGCTAAACTGGTTTTTTAATCTCAATTTTCTTCCTACTTTTGTATTTTCCTTTCTTTTCCTCATATCATTTTTACTGAAGCAGAGTTGGAACTGTGCTAAAAGCCATACCCCCTCCCCCCAGCATGAAGCACTATGAACTAGTTAGCAGTAAGCGGTCCTTAGTTCCACATATTTAGAAAGGAAACTCAATTTGTCAAGATAATCATACCTCCCATGGCATTTTCTGTTGTATGTTTTTCATCAATGTCTCTTTGTGCATATAAAGCACACAGCCAAGGTAACTGAGATGAAAGGCCATGTTCTGACTCTTCCCAATCCAAAGGTCCTGCAGGTACCAAAGTGGATGAGAATGGATTCCTTCTGCTCTAAAGCACAGTGGTGCTTACTATCTCTTGGTCCTATGTAGTTAGGAATTCTGGGCGATTTCCTGAATTGTTTGCTTTGCCAGGTTAAAGCCAGGAGCCTGTATAAGTTACTCCAGGCAAAGTGCCATTTCAGATGTTCATGCTGAATGCTCCATACATGCTCTTGTTCCCACATCTCAGTTTTACCGTAACAGCCTGGGTGTTGAAAAGGAAGAGGAAGCCAGGGCCTGGGATGAAGCCTTCAGGCACAGGGTTGAGGCCAAGGAAGCAGGCACTTTACAGTGATGGGTTAGGGATATTGTAGGCTGCTGTCCCACATGTGGCCCTGAGGCCACAAGTCCCACCAGTCCGTCTGCCTGGACCTACAGAACTCTTAGGCCAGTGGTCAAGATAAGTTAACTTCTCTCCTTAGTAAACAGAGTTCTGAAGATAAAGATTTACTAGAATTATCCCAGTTTTTAAATTATCCAGATCTAGGAATGCTTAGTATCTTTATCCAATTAAATTCACACTTGTGATGGAGTAAAAGGAGTTGCAAACACTCGAAACAGCCCTGACTTCATTTTCTCTACGCTACAGTTGTAGTGGGAAATGGATGAAACAGCTGGCCACAGGTCTTGTGGATTTCTTGTGAAAACACCTTTTGGGGCCATAGGTGATAGTGACTAGTTTTTAAGGATTGCTTCCCCACAACCTGTCTGACATCCTCCTCTTACCTAAGCACCTGCAGAGTTTATCGGTACCTGACAGAACTTGACTCATAAAGAAGAAAGTGGCAAAGCGGACAGACCTTGCATCCAGGAGGCAGTGAAGACTGGCCTGTGGCTTGCTGGCATCAGTGGGATGCCTTTGTCTGGACAATGAGTGTCCCTCTGTACCTCATTAGGGATGTCCACGGCAGTGTTCTGTAGAGTGATCTGCATGGGAAGACAAAGGGTCTGTTCTCTTGGTCACTGGATTCACCAAGGATGCGGTTGCATGCACAGTTTTGATCAGGAAACCTTGCTAAATAGAAACATGGTCTTCAAACATTTTGGCTGCAGATGAAAGTTTGTGATTATACAGCCATCTACATTAACTTACAGTGGGTTAGGTTCTGCTGGGAGCCTGCTGGCTTACTAAGTGACTGGATATTTGGCTAGGGACCATTTCCCAGAATTATTAGACTCGATAATGATTAATTGTGCACCCAGCTCTTGGTTTGAATTTCCATAGTGCTTTGCTCACTCTGGACAGCTTACTATATGGCGTGTAGATTTCCTTCGGACACTAAGCTGGGAACTTTTTGCTTTGAGGAAGGTGTTGAGATGCATGGTTATTTATTCTGGAGGCTTCTGTCATCAATGGAAATACTGAAATGCCACTGTGTGAGACGGAGAACAGGAGGCCTGGATTTGAGTTCTAAGTCTCTAGATCAGCTAGTGTCTTGAGGTATGGGCATAGGTAGGGAGAAATGCCTTCTTTAAACACCAACACTACCTCCATCTCTTGATTCTAAGCATCAGGGGCTTCTTAGTCACAGTTGTGCACGCAGTTAATTGAGAGAGTTAATTTAAAAGGCACTTAGCTCTATGCTAGAAAGCTTATTATATTTAAGACTGATTAGAGATTCTGGAGGCCAATGAGATGACTTAGTATGAACATGCAGAGAAGTCTTCTGATCTGCCAAGGGATGTAGCATGACATATGAAGACATTCGAGCTATTTTGCAATCTTAGCAATTCTTAACCTCAAAATCAGTATAGGCTGACTCTGAAACCCGGAAAGATACCCCCACACAGAGCAATAATCCTAGAACACGATGTGTGGTTTCTTCATATCTCAGTGACGAAGTGTCCCTGATCCATTCTTATGTGGTCAATTAGAGGGTGAAAACTCCATGAGACAGCCTTTACCAACAGGATGTCCTTTAGTCTGTGTGGAATTAAACTGGAAAGAAACAGAGTGGGGGTGGGGGTGCGGAAATGAAGGAGTGGAACAAATATTTGAAAACCAAACAAAATGTTTCTAAATAATATAACAAAAAGAAATTTAAAGTGGAAATTAATTTTTCAAACGGACTATAAATGAAACCAAAG